AAAAAAAAAAAAAAAAATCATAATTTTTTTGTAAGCCCATCTAAGAGTTGAGGCTGCATGGCAACTAAATGAACTGAATTCTAAAGTATGAAAGGGGCCCTGGAGGAGAGATGCAACATATACACTGTTTTACCTTTGGTAGAGCATGGAAGAAGTAACAGTCACAAAAAAAGGCAAGGAAAAAACTACCCAAATTTTAATAAATTCTTAAAAGCCAAGCATGAGCCATCACATACAGTTTAGAGTCCCTGGCATTCCAAAACAAGAGAGTCTGCATCCACTAGCCAGCCCTTTCCCATGGGCCTCCATCTGGTGCTCCAAAGTAAGACTGCAGGCAGGTCACAAGACCGATGAGAGCTCTCATAGGTGAAGACAGATGTGCAGAACCTGCCAAGGTCTGAGGCTAGAGCAAGGATATTAGGCAAAGCTTATCCATGCTTTGGACCTGAAGGAACACAACATGGAGATCAGCTATTGCTGTAGGAAAGGCACAAATCTGCCTGCACCCTGGACTCTTCTCCAACACAAGCAAAGCAAAAGTAGTTTGCCACTGACGGAGAGGCAAAATACCTTCCCGACTTCAGCTGCAGGGAAAGGATGGCTGCTGCTGAGAACAAGTACAAAATCTACTAGCTCTCTTCACACTTCACTGACACTAGGCAATGCGATATGTGCCACCAGGGGAAAGGCAGGAAGTCTGCTCATGCCCTGATTCTTGGATGATACAGACATCTGCTGCCACTGGGACAGGGAGTAGTCACTCACTTACATCCAATACCTCCAAGTGAGGCTAAGCAGTTTACCTACCACGATGGGAATAAACAGGATGTTCACCTGAACTCTGGTACAGGACTGCCCAACAAAACTGTCTATAGTGATAGAAATATCTTACATCAATCTATCCGCCACTAGCTGATACGGATAGTTAACGAAGAGTACAGCTCTAGACTCCATCTATTGAGTAGATGGAGAAACTGCTCTAGGCAAAGAATGCCTCCCTGAAGCACAGGCGAGCAGAGACAGTTTAGGACTATGCTAGACACAAAGACAAATAACTCTTACCAGAGCTAAAAAAAAAGTTGACCCACACAGAGATAAAGAGAAGAATGACAGATACCAGAGACTGGGAAGGGTGTATGGGTGGGACAGGGTGGGGATGAAGAGAGGTTGTTTAACAAGTACAAACGCAGGCAGAAGGAGTAAGTTCTAATGTTTCATAGCAAGCAGAGGAGGGTGTATAACAAGACAAGGTACTGTATTTTTAAAAAATACACAGAAAACTTGAAATGTGCTCAACACACAGTGATAAATACTCAAGATCAGGCGTCCTCAAACTACGGCCCACGGGCCACATGCCTAGGACATTTATCCTGCCTGCCAGGTGCTTTTGCCACCGCTGCCTGTCCTGCTTAGCAGCTGACTCGTCCCGGGGCCCGCAGTCCATCCCTCCAACGGTCTGAGGGACAGTGAACTGGCCCCCTGTTTAAAAAGTCTGAGGACCCCTGCTCAAGATGATAAGACACCCTAATACCCTGATTTGATCATCCACACTCTATGTATGTAACCAATTCACATGTACACCATATGTGTAAATATTATATATATAACTTTTTCGATTAATAAAAGACTAAAACTGGAGAAGAACCAAGAAACTCACCCTGATCCTTTCAAGAGCCTTGTTTCAGGTAACAAGAAACAGCAATCTATTGCTGGGAGAGAGGAAAGAGCAGAGAGAGAGGTATCCTACTCCTGTCCTGTTCCCAAATGTAGCACAAGTGAAAAGATGGCGCTGTACCAGGAGTACAGAGAAAAAAAATCACCTGATACACCAGGCCCCACACTAAGCCCAAAGTATTATCAGTTCATCTGTGCAGGAATCTGAGGACAGGTTACTAAGGAGATGCAGCAACCACAACACCAAACTGCTCAATTACTAATTAGACTGACCAGTACCACTTGACACCAACCTGACAGAGTAGAAACATATTTATTTCTGAGTAGAAATATTATTTACCTCAGTCTCTCACATTCTTTCACAAAAGTCTGACATTCCATCCATAATTATGAAACACACACAAAAATAAGAGATAAAACAGTCAATAAAACCAGACCCTGAGATGGACTAGGTAACGAATATAAACATTACAGTTATGATTAATATGTTTATGTATCTATGGGGAATTTTAGCAGAGACAGGGAAACTTATTAAAAAGTCAAATAAAAATACTAGAAATGAAAAATACAAAGAAGTCCTTCATCAGCTTTATCAGAATGAACATAACAGCGACTGACCCTAAAGAAAGATCAATAAAAATTATCCAAATTAGAGATGCACTGCAACCTAGAGAAAAGATCATAGCAAATGGTATAATATAATTTTCCTTGAAGTCCTAAAAATAGGAATGAGGCAGAAGAAATATTTGAAGAGAGAATGAACAAAAATTTCCTAAATTTGATGAAGACAATAAACTATATATTTAAAAACCTCCACAAAATCAAAATAGGAGGCTCAGCGCCTATAGCTCAGCCGGCTAAGGCGCCAGCCACGT